TTGGAATAAACACCAAGCAAAGAAATTTTAATAAGAAAATAGGTCTTGTACTCCGGTAGACCAGAACTCCTATTCTGGTTTTGCCATCTGCTAGCTGTAGGAATTAGTTAAAATGTGTGAGTCTGTAAACTGATTTATGACCTTAGGATAAGATCAATTACTTAACAGGGCTTGGGGGAAGATATAAATACTAAAATAATGTGTGCAAGTTGCCAAGACAATTCAATAGGAAAAAAAAAACCTTCAGCAAATGGTGTTGGGACAACTGGATTTCAAATATGCAAAACGGAACTCCAACCTTTACTTTAAACCATACACAAAAATTATCTCAAAATGGATTGTAGACTTCAACGTAAGAGCTAAAATTATGAAGCTTCTAGAAATAAAACACAGTAAAAAGAAATACTTGTGACTTTGGGAAGCAAAGAATTCTTGGATATTACAACAAAAGCACAAGCCATAAAAGAAAAAAATATTAAATGGTATTTATTAAAGTTAAAAGTATTTGTGCTTCCAAAGATACTATGAAGAAAATGAAGACAAGCCACATGCTGGAAAAAATATTTTCTAATCATGTATCTGATGAAGGACTTATATCCAAAATATACATAGAATTCTGACACTCAATAAGAAGGCAAGCAACCCAATTCCAAACAGGCAAAAGACTTGACATATAAATGGCTGATAAGCACATGAAAAGATGCTCAATATAATTAGTCACTAAGGACATACAAATAAAACCACAATAAGATACTATTACATATCCCCTAACATAGTTATAATAGAAAAGACAGATAATACCAAGTATTGGCAAGGATGTGAGAAACTGAAACCCTCATATAGTTGGTGCAGATGTAAAATTATAATGCCCCTTTGGAAAGCAGTCTGGCAGCTTCTTATAAACTTAACTATAACCTCATCATATGATTCATGAATTCTACTCTTAGAAATCTACCAAGAGAAGTGAAATATAAATCCACACAAAGACTTGTGTTTGAATGTTTACAGCAACATTATTCATAAGAGCCAAAGACTAGAAATAATCCAAATGCCCAACAACTGGGAAATGGATAAGCAAAACAGAGTCTATTCATACAGTGGGATGGTATTCAGCAACTGAAAGTATTAAACTACTGACACATGTGACAGCATAGATAAACCTCAGAAACATTATGCTAAGTGAAAGAAACCAGATACAAAGACTACATATTGTGTGACCCATTTATGAAGCTCCTGGAAAAAGCAAACTTACAGAGACAGATGTCAGAGCAGTGGTTATCTGGGGCTGGCGATGGGGGAGTGAGGACTGACTTCAAATAGGTAGGAGGGAAATCTGGGGGGGGGGGGGATGAAAAAGTTCTAGAAGTGGATTGTGGTGAAGGTTGCATTTTATATATTTACTAAAAAATCAATGGATTTATTTTATAGTATGTAAATTATACCCCAATAATGCTATAAAATGTTTTATATATATATATATATATATATATATATATACACACACACACCACCTAACCGTTAAACCTTAAAAACATATAC